CGAACGAACGAACCAAAGACCCGAACGAACGAACCAAAGACCCGAACGAACGAACGAACGAACGAACGAACGAAAGAAAGAAAGAAGAAGGTTTTTTGTGCAGCAGATTGAGCGTCATGTCTGCTAGGAAGTTTGTTGGTGGTGGGCGTGAACGCAGGGAGGATCCATCACCCTCACCTTCTGGCTCACCCTATGATGAGGATGAAGTCTGGAGGAGAACTGACGGTTTCCTCCTGTGAACCCCCTTTATACCAAAACGCTGCCAATACACCATTATACAGTAGCTGGAAGTTAGAAACACGTTCAGCGCTCGTCTGGAACACATCAGATACGTTGATATGCTTGGAGAGAAGTTTTTGATTAGTTACGCAGAAGTTACTCAGAGTTTAGGATAAGCTAGAAGCCACGACTTAATGTCTGGTTATCCTCCAGCAGCACTGTGTCGCAGTGAGCTTGTTGCAGATATTTTTGATTCATGCCCCATTTTGAAGCGTGGTCTGCGCCATGTTATTCCATGCCACAACACAAGAGGGCCAATCAGGAACTAGCTGTGGGTCAAGATACTGCCGAATAGGTGAGGGAGTTGGGGCAAGTTTGTCCAACAACGGAGGGACATGAGGGCCAGGTGGGATCCAGGTGGAAAAAGGTTCCCAGCGTTCTCGCCCACCAGTCGTTTTCCACAATGGCGGTCATACAAACAAAACAAGCCGGTATGGAAATATGCATAGTGTAGAGCGGATATAGAATTGACCAATCAGAGGCCTCCTGTTTGCGGAACTGCCTACGGTCACCTACACCTTGGGAGAGGTGCAGCAGAGTGTTTGCAGAAGGGGGGGGCGAGGCATATCTGCAGTAACTGCGACACACGCAGACGATTTGCTGTCTGAGTATAAACCAGGCTTTACTGTATGAGTAACTGACACTTAACATATGTCAACCACAAGGTAACTTACCTGGAAATCTCAACGTACTCGCCGTGTGGTGACATGTTTCAGCGTACCGATAACTTGTCCAACATACGCAAGCGTTTTAGGAGATTCTGGGACGTTAGACATGTCTAAATCAGAAACGTGTGACAGGAGCTTTAGATCATTTGACTAGATGCTTTCAGCTTTTCCAAATACCTTTAATTCACCTTAAGGAGACAGAGCCTTTTTATGGAATAAGGTCAGGATTGCTCCAGTTTTTGGTTTATAAAAGTACAGTTTTCTCTTTGGCTTTTCACCCTGAGTGAGCTAACATCATTGCACTTGTATTTGTGATATTTTGATTTTATATATATTTCTCTGTTTTATTGCGTTTATTTATTTTTATGTGTAAAGCAGCTCAGTCAGCTGCTATGTTCCATTTTCAGTGCTTTAGAAATAAATGTGTGGGTACGGCTGAACCTCTGACGGCTCTCACCTGCAGACCGCCGCCACCTGTGGGCAGGCTGTAATCTGACAGTGCAGAAAAAATGACGACATTCTGTAATTATCTAATAGTGACATTAATTTATTTTATGGGAAACTTTTTTTATCTCCGTGTTTGTTTATCTAATTTTGATTAAAAGCAAGGGTGGCGGTCAGACAAGTAAACATTTCTATCAGCTGCAAACCTGCTCCTTTATTGCCACAGCTCTCTGCTGAAGTTTCTACAGCAATCAATCCTGCAGCAGCACAGGTGGAAACGACTGCAGCTGATAGGAGAAGCCATGGAGAGCCTGATCTGGATGTTTGGATCGAAACTCATCAGAGGGAACGTTACAGAGTTCACAGCAGAGGATGCTGGACACAAAGCTGAGATTTAATCAGTTTAATTGCAAAGAAAACAGAAGTCTGAAAAAATGTCCCTTTAAAGACAATAATATGTAAATAGAGAAGAGGGAAAGAATAGTTTAAACGTCTTTGTTTATGAGAGAAAGTCTCCTTCAGGGGTCAGAAGTTCACACTAGATCAGAGGTCATGGATTAGTGGACAGCGGTCCAGATCCGGACCCACCTGATGTAAAACATTTATAAATTACAGCATGTTGTCTGACAACAGTGTCTAATTTCTCTTGCACTGCTTCTCCTGTTAATACGGTAAAGCCCTCTGGAGCGTCCGGCTCCAGGCTGCATCTGATCCAAATTAGCCAATGAGTTGTCAGTCTGGGTTGCTGCTGCTGCTACTTTTAGACACAGCAGACAAACCTGTGGCAAGCCGGGCGATGGGAAAGA